GGTGTTTTCTCAACCTTGTTCCTTCTTTCTGTTTGTCCTCTGTTTGACTGACTGGACCCCTTCGATGAGGTCACTGTGAGCTTCACTTTGCAAAAGAGCACCCAAGAAGCCTTCGCTGTGATCCGCAACCCTCAGCTGCTAGATCAGACCACACCGTGCCTTCGAGCAACCTGCGTTTCAAGAGCGGGAAAGAAAGGAAATCAAGAACCAAAACAACAGAAGAAAGGCAGGTCTAAGAAAGGTCCAAAGGTATATACAAAGAGAAACGAAGAAATTAAGGATACAAAGACCATTTTTTTGGTAATAAGATTTGATGTTGATTATGACTCTTGCCGTTGCCATTGTGCATCATTCGGAACATTCGACAATACGTGCCGCAAAGCGCGGGCACTAGAGCTGAATGTTTTCCTACAAACTGGAACCAGGACACATATAAAAAGGGTGCCTTTTTTGCATCCTGCATGAACTTTGCTTTTAGCAACGTCCACTTCCGACGAGCAATACTCAAGAAGAAGGGCCGTGACTGAGGCGGCTGAGGCGTTTGTTGACCAAAGCCCCAGTTGCAATGAAGACAATTAGCCGCATTAGCTTAAAACGCCACAGCATGCACAACAGCCACCAACAAACAAACTCAACACCGGGGCTGGGCTGGGAAGACCAAAACACGAAGCCAATGAGGAAACGCAAGAAGCCAAGCTAAGACTAGCTAAGAATGCTTTTTGGTCTCCAAAATTGAAGAGCACTATATAGATAAATGTAAGAAGATAAGATGCCATTGCTTTCCCTGAGAGGTTCTGGTTCCGCTTGATCATTCGCACGGAGTCTGTGGAGGCCAAATTAAGCTTCAAAATTGTAAAGAAAAGAAAGAACATAGCGAAAAAGAGACACCTACTAGCGATGGCCTCCAACCTACCAGCGATGGCCTCCAAGCTAGAAGCATTGGTTCATAGAAGCATTTGCAATTATGGTGGCTAAGCCATTGAACCCAGACATGCGTCAAGGGGTGCCAGCCGCAGCTTGCTTGAAAGTGATCCTCCAGCCAGGCCATCAACGACTTCCTGGCAAAGTCGGATCCGTTAGTTGCAGAAACTGAGCAAATTGACAAAACAGGAGTTTGCTTTCGAACGTGTGAACGCAACGGCTACTGGTACTTGGTGTGGGGTGTTGCAAAGTTTGTAGTGGGTTTGGCCAACCGGGTAAGAATAGCACATGAGGTGGGCAGAAGGGTAGCGCATTGTATGCCGGAGTCGGGCCCAAAAAAGAACACACATTGAGGTTACTTAGTTAATGGACAAACGATTTCCCATGTGATGAGAGCAAGTTACACACACGCTGAGGAGAACTTGCCAACGTTCCCTCTCAAGCTGCCCCTGTACTTTGACTACTGGATGCGGCGCGGTGGCAGAGGACGGCCACTACTCAAGTGGCACTTCAGGGGACTGGAGGAGGTTGAACTGATTTCGTTTGAAATGTCCTTGCTTCCATTGTGCACTCCAGTTGCTATATTATTTTGTAAGCAGGCCTCATCGCTTTATCTACAGAGAATAGGAAACCACGTCGAACATGTTTTTCTTAGTGGCTGCCATTGTCAATTGAAAGGCAATTCCATCAGACTGGTGCGATTTCAACCACGGCGGGTATCCGATATCCTTCCGTGGTTCTTGGCCATGTCAAGTTTCAGGCTAGCATTCATCGTGCCCTTCCCTTGGAGAAGCAAAGTCACCCAATGCGAGAAACTTCACGACTCTGGCAAGAGCAGCTCAAGCACGCCAAGTTTTCAGCTCACCTATGAAGCTTGGATAGTCGTTGGTTTCTGGCGTCCAGAAAGTAGATTACAGGACATTATAGGCAAATAAATAGCAAGCACGACAGGAGTTTGAAGACGTGGAAGTTATTTTGCGCAAGGAGCAGGCCATTGGGCCTTTCTTGGGTGGCTTTATTCACACACACACTGTTATCGCACGTGACGGCGGAAGCCAAATTGATGATTCAATCGAATTTGAAGCTTGGCAGCACACAAAACATGCCAGTGAGCTTGGGCACGTAGGGGCCAGAAAGCCAACAAAACCAACGAACTATTTGTCGTGCGGCATGCGCACAACCCGTAGAAAACCACACCCCGCACCGGAGCCCCCACCACACACCCAGCGCTCCATGTTGCAAGTCAGCGCTACCTCCAACGCCTGGGATGTCCCCTTCCCGGGCACAAACCTTCAAGCACCCCATCCACCTTCACGGCCTGCCCCTCCAAAGATTAGCAGAACTACGTTGCTACACACCTGCTGTATGTAAAAATATTCCTGGCAAGGGGCCCAAAACAGATGTCCACTATAAGTAGACCAAGACAACGATGAAAAACCACACGTAACTTCAGCATTCTAGAGCAAACACACGAGAGCACACATATACAAGCAAACACATGCGAGCGCACAAATGAGAGCACACTTATGAGAGCACACTTAAGAGCACAAGAGCACACGTACACATGAGAAGTGCACATAACAAGAGCACACATATGTAAGCAAATGAGATCACACATATGATAGCATAGGCATGACATAGCACACACGTGAGAGCACACATCGAAGAGCACACGTGTGAGTTCACAAAGCGAAATTTGCCCTCCGAGGTGCCCAAGGCGTTTTGCCTGCCAAACCTGCGCATGTTTGTGGAGCCCGGTGCACAAAGCGCCGCGCCTGCCACAAAATCTGCACATCAAGATTCAAGACCGAGATGCCAAAGCAAAGCTTTCGCGCGAGACTGTCCCGAATTCTGAGGAAAAAAGAAACAGAAACAAACCTGCCACGAAGTCAGAGCACCCCAAGACCAACACCAAGTCCAGAGTGCGCACGTGCCACGAATTCCGCACATCGAAGTACAAAAAATCAGATTTTCTTCACCAGTTCTAAGATTTCTTCACGCTGGTTATCAGATGTTATCATGGACTTGCTCTTGGGAACAGACATTTCATGTCAATCGTCAAGTGCTAGTTCACAGGCACACAGAGTCCAAGGCCTCCAAATTTCATGCGCAAAGGAGTAGCAACACTAGAGCCCGCTTTAGACAGGATTGGGGGGATCACTCATGATTCTGCGCGTGTCTTGATGTGTTTTTTCTTGTGTTTCCTTCTCTGGAAATGTGCGAGGTGAACAGTTTGGGTGTTTGAACTAAGTTCAGTGAGTGGACAGTCCGACGGCTTGAGAAGGCAAATGGGACCTGCAAGCAAGATTTAAAGCATTTGACATGGTGTGTAGCAGTACGCTTGTGCTGGTTGATGAAAATGATGCGCAGTTTGTAAGGATGTGACTTCGGAACCGGTCGTCAACAACATCACCTGGTATGTGCTCAACTACCTTTTGCGGGGCCGATGTGAGAATCTGAATCTGTCCTATGGCGGCAGCATTGTTACATGATGCTCGTGGCTGGCGGCATGGTGTTAGGGCTTGCCTACGGCCACACCAAAGGAGACCAGAGGAGGATGCTTTCAGAGGGCTCAAATTGAACAAGGGCCCTCCGCAGTTCCCTACACAAGCTGGATTGCTGAAATCAGAGCTGGCACACGTGTGCTTGCGTTACTAGCGCGTACTCATTCAAGATCATTCAAGTGAAACTGCAGGCTGTACCAAGCTATTGGCAAGGTCCCAATGGCTGCGTGGGTCCCTTTGGTTCGTATCTCGTCGGTGCCCGACGTTCTGCCTTCCCGGCTGAGCCGGCTGCATAGGTAGGATGCATCACACATATCTTGAAAGAGGCGCAGCAGGGCTTTGCTTAAAGGACAAGAAGCAGGAGCCACTGCAGGGTTAAGCCACCTCTTGCTGGGTCATTTGTTGGATATCTACAGTAACCTTAGAGAAAGCCTGATGGATGGCTGCTAGAAAGCCTGATGGATGGCTGCTGGTTTGTGCCAATTGAGATTGATCCATTTCCCAGCACTGGATCCAGCAACATTCTGACCGTAAAAATCCGTAAAGACTTAAAGTCGAGGAGCATCATGGCAAAAGTTTCGAGACTTTAGGGGCAAGCACAGAACCAACCACAGCAACTAAATCCCTCAGCCTCCAACCTAATAGAATGGAGACAGCTTGTTGTTGTGGTCAAGATGAACAACTAAGCCACCAGCAAGATGAACATACCAAAATTCCCATGCAGTACGAAACTCCTGATGGTCTTTGTGTGGTGGTTGGTGCAGTGCCCGGCGGCTGTCGTTTGCAACAGTTTGTGGCGCGGAACTTCAGAGAATACTTGGGAAGACAATCGGATGCCATGCATGTAAATGTACGGCATGCAGCGGCTGTTGCTTGTCAAAGAGGCTGCGTTCTCATTGACGGGCAAGTGGCTGTTGGACGGCAAAATCTGTTTGGTGGAGAGGTGGTGACTTTGTTGAAGAACAGTTTAGACAGTTTAGAACAAAGCGATCGAAGTGGGTCCTTTCGTCGAGGTGCTCCACGCATGTTAGTCCACATGCCAGAGGACACTCACAGTCCTGGTGCGCTGGGCATCCCCAGTTGGGAGGGGGGAAGCACCAGTGGCAGCTACCCTGGTAGCACGCATTTTCGTCAATACTACAGAGATTTGCAGCGTTTGCTTCCAAGAGAAGATTGGGAGCAATGCGAGCAACTCTTCATGAGACCTGTACCTTTGAGCCTTCGTATGAACCTTTCTTCACCGCAACATAGAGAAACCATGTGTGAATTGCAACAGACTTTTGGCACAAGGATTGAGATGGTTCCATGGATGAAGTCCTTTGGTGGTGCTTTGCACATCGCACCAACGTTTAGCTCGGAGGAGGCATCAGAAGGTTTGCGTTTGGTAAACATGCTTGCGTCGGCCGGGGATATCGTGGTGCAAGACGGGCTGTCCATGCTGGCTGCAGCGGCATTGGATCCGAATCCAGGTCAGACTGTGCTGGACTTGTGCAGCGCCCCAGGCAGCAAAACCTGCCAATTGCTTGACGCGTTGAGCCGACGAGCTTCTGAAACTGGCGATTTAGATGCCGAGTGCAGTGCCCTTGTTGCCAATGACATGTCAGCAGAGCGATCCCAAAGGACCTGGGGAAGGGCCAGGGCACAAAACTGTACGTCGCTAATAGTCACTGCAGCAGACGGTGTTCAATTCCCACAGCTCGTAGATGAAGGCTTTGACCGCATCCTAGTAGATGCCCCATGCAGTTCTGATGGCACTATTAGAAAGGAGAGGAAACGCTTGCAGCGTTGGAAAGTGGACTCTGCTTTGAATCATCATGCCTTGCAGATTCGTTTGCTTCATCGAGGTTTGGAACTTCTGAAGCCTGGTGGGCGTTTGATTTATTCGACCTGCTGCCTAAACCCCATCGAATGCGAAGCCGTCGTTCAAGCAGCTTTGGATCAATCATCGAGTGATGTTCACCTATTGGCTGCAGAAGATGTTCTGCCACCGGGATGCCCTCGAGGATCACCTGGTTTAAAATCTTGGTGTGTTCCGGTGCCTTCCGAAGACAGGACGGGCACGAGTTCAGACACGACGTTCAAAGTGTATCATTCTTGGGACGAGGTCGACGAGGGCAACGAGGTGACGTGTAGAAGTGCGATTCAACGAACGATGTTTCCGGGAAGACTTGCACAGCAAGGGTCCTTGTCCTCTTGCGCACGCTTTCTGCCCATACATGGACCGAACTTTGGTGGCTTTTTTCTTGCAGCCTTCACGAAGATCCTCGGCTTTAAATATTGTTCGCAAACAGAATGCGTACAATTAGAATTCATTAAGTTCAAGTGCGTTTAATTAAGTTGACAAACATGATTCGGATTGATTCAGTGTGATGCACACTTGCACAAGCACTGGAAGGACACGTCCTGAAGCCTCGGACACTTCGTCGACTTTGACACTGCCAGGCCAGGTTGAATCATGAATCCATGGCTCGGGGCAGTGCTCAGGGCTTAAAGGTCCACAAAAATGCTGTTTTCAAGGAACAATGGGTAAATTCATGGCCATTAGGTTGGAGGCCATTGCTATTAGGTGAGATCGCACTTGCTCTGTTGGTTCTGGTGAACACCTTGCAGGTGCAAGTCTTGGGCCGCTTGCTCCGTGTAAGTCGAAGATGCTCCTCACCTATTGTAGAGAGAGCCCAGATGCTTTTCAGGAGACTTGTTTGTGCTTTGCATCGTCCACATGCCAGAGCCCCCGCAATGAGCGAGCCTCGCTCAGTGCTGACCACTGTATGGCCTCTAGCCTAGAAGCGATGGCCTCCAACAGTTTTGACTCATGGACCTGCTTGGATTTGGTCAGTGTGAAGCAGTGAAACGATCACAGACCCACATCATGGACCCCACGTTTCTGGAGGAGCTGGTCAACTTTTTTGGATTGGAAGGCCCGAGCATGCAGCACTTGGTGGAGTCTCCAGATGATGCATGTTTGAGAATCAAAGTTTCTGATTTTGGATGGGAGGTTGTTGTGATTTGTTGTGTGTTGCTTCCCTTTTGTGCATTGCATGGTGTACATTAGCTTGGAGACCATCGCTATTCGGTTGGAGGCTGCATTTTGTTTGGGATTGCTATTGGGTAGTTCTTGTTACTAGTAGCGTCCTATTGTTCCCAGTAGTACGGCCAGGAGTGCCCCTAGTAGCGTCCTTTGCTCCTAGTAGCGATGCCCTTGTTCCTAGTAGCGATGCCCTTGTTACTA